GAGCTTGTATTGAAAGCTTTTTTTTTTTTTTTTTTTTTTTACCCATGCTTAAACTGTATGTCCCTCTGTGATCATTAAGCACTGGGAATGAATGTTTTGGGCTATTGTTGTAAACGAAGATTTTAAAAAATCTGATGCTGATTCTTTTTACTGGCTTTGAAAAACCCTTAAACGATTAAATAACTTGATTGCAGCCTACTACTAACCCCTAGTAGTACAAAAGTCAGAATATTTTGATGCAAGACAAAAATTCTTGCCCAAAATCTGCATTATATGACGGATCCTATGTCTGTAGTCACTAGTCTAGAGGGAGTTTTCCTTATGACCAGATGATAAAGCCTTAAGACTGTGTTTGAGTATCTAAAAAAGTTTTGTGCAGTCATTTCAGTTGGTAATGTCCTTAAAGCCTCAGAAAACAGTATTAATTAAAAAATAACATGGGAAGCAATATTTGTTTCCATCTCTGCAAGTATAGCAATTCCACTCAACATGGAGACTGTGTGATTTGTTGGCTAGGCTGGGGAAGGATGACTCCTCAAGAGGACTTGCATGACCTCTACCTGTCCCTTTGCGTAAGGAGTTTTGGGGAGAGGCTCAGACATGCCAGAAAAGAACAGATGAAAATGATTTGTTGTGAGAGAGGCCTTCCAGTTCCCTGGTAAAGAGGCAACTGAACCTGCACCATTTCTTAGATGAAATTATACATCCGGAGCCGGAGGCTCACAGAAAGAGTTTGATAACACTTTTACAACAGTTACAGATACAGTTTGTTTAGGCAAACCAGTTTGTCTTGGCTTCAGTTCACCAGACTGCAAAATGGATGTTATCTAACTGTGGTTTTGTGAAACAGGGAGAAATTGCAGTGTGCTTTCAGATAGACTGATGAAAGCTTTCACTTCATACATTACATATCCATGGGTGGAGGGTATAGAATATGGAAAGATGTGTATGAGTGAGGCCAGAAGAAATGACAACATAAGCAAAGAAAATAAGGTCCAGAAGAAGAATTGTTGTTGTCCCAATCTATTTTATAGGTCAGTCTGTCTCTCAGACATTTCCATCTCCACTACCTTTCACAACTGTAAACACTTGCAGCAAGTACCATAAAGAAAAGCAGTATTAGCTACCTTTAATCCAATGTCAATACCAGAAAAGTAGACAGCATGTAGCTAACCAATTCTAGGAAGCTCTTACGTTTTGGCTCATAGGGCAGTTTTTCCACTTCTAAGTTACTGGAATCAAAGCTTCTGGTTTTTATTTCCAGTGTGGTAGTTGCTCTACCAGGTGGAATAGCTTCTTTGCTTCACAATCTATGAAATGCTTGGCTTAGTATTTACCCATTTCACAGAATAAGTATGAACACTAAATATGGTAAAATATTTCATATTAAAACTGCCTGGAAGAAGAAAAAGTGTCTAAGTAATTATAGTGTGATGGCCATTCAGTTAAACAATTGATCTGGTGTTGGTCTTCCAAAATTATTTTAAAAGTATTAATTTTTTATTCATATCACTACTTAATTCCTGCTTCTGCCAAAACATATCCTTAAAAGTGAGTGTTAGTTGCAGGAGTATAAAGCAATCTTGATTTTCTTTCTAAACAATGTTTCCTGTACCCTTTGCTGCAAATGTCCTTCCCCTGCTCCCCACCCCCCCAAACCATGACATGAGTTATTCAGGTCAAACACATAACTTTTTATCCAAATTAGATACATTTGGCAGAATTACCAGTTAGATACCAAAGCAAATGTCTAGAATCAATCTTTTGAAATAAATTCAAGCTATGCAAGAAAATGTTATATTGATCTGTGAGTTTTCCTACTCCAAGATACATAATTTCTTTTGAACAAGCTTGCATTATGATTTACTTCCATTCTTCTGTAGTAGGTAGAAGCCTGTATTTCCATTTTCTAAACACACAGCTCGGAAGAGACAAGGAAATTACAAACAATGCTCTTTCAAATATTTTCCCTCAGCCCTATTTTTATGAATCCTTTTGGCGGTGAGGAAAAATATTTGCAATGCAGTGTTAAACATTTATGAGTTGACAAAGAATAAAGATCAATGGTTGCTAAAGTATAAAGGGTGACAGAAGCAGACTGAAACAACTTTTGAGTTACTTTTATGTTTAACTAGGTTTTATGTAGGTCAATACAAAACATGCAAATTCCCCCTGGCACAGCTTTTGTAGAAATCTCTTTTTAAAATTTCATCAAAGAAAGGAAAAGTTGGCATGATTTCCTTTTTTTCAATAAAGTCCCCCCTTGCCACATATTATTTACACATCTTGCTCATAATACTACTACTGAAGAGAAAGTGTGTCATCTCTGAAGTATACAAAATGTTTCCTGATGGCCAGAGTCCAAAACAACACAGGATGGAGCAGAACTTGCTACCATATCCTCCCATTCTTGTAACATTTTAATTTCCTCAGCAAGTTTTTCAAGAACAAGATAAAGTTGAGGTCCAACAAGGACACCAACAATGCTTTTTGCTAAATACTGTTCCTTTTTTCAGTGTGAGGAAACAAATACACGCCTAGTCTGTAACTCATCGTTCTAATGAGCACATAAATATATTTTTTGTGTGCTTTACTTTCAGCTTCCAAAGCTGTAAATATTGTCAGTGCTATTCTACAGATGTCCACAAACATATATATTTCATTTCAGTATTACCAGATGAAACAGTGGACAAAAGGGTGCTTCACGCTGTGGACAGTCTAGAAAGGCTGGGAAATGGCCTCCAAACCAGAAATGCTCTTGCTACCCTTTCACTGGAAGATTTGGTCTCCAGCACATTCCCCAGGGAAGAGTAGCAGGGAAAAATGAATAGACTCCAGATGGGGACTGGGGTTTGAGCGCCACCTCTCCACAAACATCTCCGTGGAGCACAAAAATGGAAGGCTGTAATTTCTGGTTTAACTCCTCAGCTTTTGTATTTCCTGAAAAATCACTCAATACACACGTTCACCTGTGTCCACACACACTTCCACACACACCAGTATGTGTGCACACTGATGCATCTTTACCATCACTCCCATGCCTCCCACTTGCCCATTTGCTCCTACATACTGACTGCTCCTCCATCTCACACCCATGCTCCCATACACACACTCACACTTGGTCACACAGCTGCACCCCCTTGCACTCACATATGCTTCCCCCCCATCCTTTGAGATTTTGCTGTAAATTTCAGCTATACATTTTGTATTTTCAACACCAAGTTCTGCTAATGAAACTGGTTATTATTTTGTCTGCAACTAAAGATAGATTCTCACCAGGAACTAAGCACCATAATTAAAAAACCTAAAGGAAAAGGAAGACCTTTGGTTCATACAATTCACAACAACACAAGGTAATAGTACTTTTCATCCACTGCACCCAAAGAGCAGATCTGTACTTTTCACGACATGCTAGAAAAGTGAAAACTGTGCTCTGACCTTTAATCTCTCAAAGATACATCAGATCCTACCACATCTTTCTCCACAAAGCTGTTAAAAAACCTTATAGTTTAACTCTGACTTGGAATCCAGCCAAAAAGGTGGGATAATTTCACAGAACAGAAGACAGCTGAGAAACTGCAACATGCAATACCAAGGAAAGACAGGTAGTAACGGTCAGCACATACCTTTGAATCTGCCACCTGATTTGAATGCTTTTTTCTTGTGTTATGAGAAATAGTGAGCATTTCTATTCACCTCCAGTTTCTTGTGTTATGAGAAATAGTGAGCATTTATATTCACCTCCAGCATGCCACTCATGACATTACAGGAGTAAACCTGCATGTTGTATTTATTATACCAGTGTAACAATGAATTTATGCAGTAATACAAGAACCCTTTGCATTTTATGCTATCATTTTCCTTGCAATTCCATTAGGCTTCACACTTGCTATTTTGACCATCACTGAGTGTGCTATCATTTTCCTTGCAATTCCATTAGGCCTCACACTTGCTATTTTGACCATCACTGACTTGTGCTGATGTCTTCACAGAACTTCCTTATTACACATCCACAATCTAGGCAATAAGAAAGCTAGTGCACAGCTTGCCATTTTGGATGTTGGTTTTTTTGACAAGACCACCTTTTCCTCAAGGCAAATCAGTTTACAGTACTAACACATCATTTGCTGCTTTATCACAGAGTTATACTCTGCAGATCTGAAATAAAAGGTCAGCTTCCAGTTTGGTTACTCTAAGGAATTCCCTGTCATCAGCAAACTTCTTACATCATTTTCTATCCCTGCTTTGGGATCATTTATGATAACACTGAAGCACAGAGGCCTGGTACAAGTTCCTGAGAAACGCTACTGCTGACTTCCCCTCTTTAGTCCAAGGTTTTTAAAAAAAACATAGTAAATAAACCAAAACATCTAAACACCAGAAGTGTAAAAATCCCCATGTTGACTCCCCTTTTTTTCCCTACAATAACTGAGAGATAATTGCATGCATATAATTATGACAGGAGAGAAGTAGCTATAATTTTAAAAGATCAGCATTTTTTTAAATTACTACCACAATCTTGTAAATATCTGGTAGATACTTAGCCTTTGCCTAATGTTCAGATGCTACCCATCTGCTTTATGAAAACAGTAGCATTATATAAATTATATAAACTGCAGATGATTTGAAAAAATATGTAATAAAATACTGATTTACATGAGAAATCAAACAAAAACTGCATCAGAATAAAGTGCTACATTTTCCTTTAATGAGACATTTATGGTACTTCTTGTTCCACATGAGATTTGTGTGATCCACATACAGGTAAGTCCTTTACTATAAGCCTTTTTTTCCCCCTACTTTTAAAAATATTTCCATTAGCAGAAATGAGAAGCTGGAGAAGTGTTGTAAGTGATACACTTCTCATTGTAACCACAGTATCCTACCTTTTACTTCTTGTTTTTCATGCTGTTCATTATCGTCTCATTTCCAAGCCACCCTGTCTTCAGTTGAGAGCACCAACATAGTTCAGTTGAGTTATACCAACATAGATGTCTTACCTCCATCTTAAGCAAGATATTGCTCCTCTTCTGTTTTCTTTTCATGACTTTTCCATGTTGCTTCAAGTCTGAAATTATCCTCATGTCTCATACCAGTATTCAAATTTTTCTACAACTTCAAAACAGTGAAAGCTGTTTGGGTTGGTTTGAGGGTTTTTTTTTTTGAAACTTTCTTCCTCAATTTACTGTGGTTTTTCATTCTGAATATATTATGGGTCTGGCCTCAGTTCTAACTATAAGCATTTTGGAAGCAAGATCACACCTGTTTCTCCAACCACATCTCCTTCTTTGTTTCTAAAGTACCCTGCATCTTTACCAGGTTATGGTAAATGTGCATGTATATAATCTTCCCCTGCAGAATAAAAACTGCCTATTTCCTTTTTTATCAGCACAGAGCTGAAATTTTCAAGGAAGCCTCCCTTCACTGATCTCTAACCTAAACCCCTGAGTCCTGGCATGTTTGTTTAGAAAAATATATTTTATAAAATCTTACAGAAATGTAAGCAAATCCACAAAAGGAAGTAGGCATAGTCCTAAACATATGCTTAAATACTTTGCTGCATCAAGGCCTAAGTATTGCTGTTTCAAAATAAAGTTATTTGGCTGATAACTTTCTGTTTAAGAGTTGCTGAATTTAAAAGCTGAATCTGATTAAGCATGTTTACCTTCACAAATCACGTCCAATTGAAACAGAACCCTCAGACTGTGCAGGGTTCAGACTAAGATTTCTTATTTTTGTTCTAGGGTAGCCATTTTATTAAAATTCAGTAAATAAAATTTAATATTATGAAAACATTTCTTTCTCACCCTTTCCAACCCTTTTCAAGTTCACAGTATATTTTATTTTCCCTTTTACTTACAATACACAGAGAGATAAAAATTATTTCTTATAATTTTAAGGTTAGAAAATCAGTCTGGAAATTAATACATCACTCTGCAATCTGCAGCAGAAGGCCAGCTACATACATCCCCCAGAAAGGATAGGGAGAAACTGAGAGATAATACAGCATGGCTTTAGACTACAAACTTTCATAGGCAAAGAGCATTCCTGTTCTGTGTCTGTGCTGTTCAGTAGCTACCAGAAGAGGAATCTGAAGTTTCTAACACTGATAACTCATCTTTATTCTAGAATTTGGGTTTTGGTCAACAGTAGAAGACAACAGATTTTTTTTACCCCTACCTCTCCAAATTAACTAGTGTAATGGAATTCTGCTCAAGACATGCAATAAATAGGCTCTTGTTTCATGTCAATGAATAGAAGACTAACACCAAAACAGGAATAAGAAGTCTCTAATACCTAACCAGAACAATCCATCTAGCTTTTATTCCAATTAATCACATGACATGACCAGAAGAGGATCAACCGAGGGACCAAGCTGCAGGCACTCCCAGTCACAAATAGGCACAGGTCCCATCCCATGGCTGTGGTCACGCTGCCAGATGTGCCCCAGATCATGGGAGGGGGAACTGGCACAGTCCCAGAAAGCTGGGGATCCACCCTACGCAGAGGTTCTCCACCCTTCTGTTAAAGCAGGTTCCAGCCCAAAATGAAGTAGCCGCATAGTACTAGGAAGAAGAAAAATAAGTAGCCATAACTAACGAGGCTATGGTACTTATCAGCTTGTGACTGAGAGAGGGTGAAAACGATCTTGAAATAGTCAAAGCAATGACAGAAATCTTCTCCACTCCAAGCCGCAGGCCTTACAACAGCATGGGACCTGCAAGAAGAAAAAGAAAAAAAAAATAATTATAATCTTTCAACTGGTGGTTATTTGTTTCTAAAACAAAAAAATCTTGCTGCTTGATTTTTCTACCAAAGGGTGAAGTATCTCAAATTTAGCATAGAATAGTTGTCATGCTGTACGAGCATGTCAGGGTTTAATTCACAGCAATTTCTTAATGAATTCATACTTTTGGCTTACAAAACAATACGTTAGAAATATTCCCTCCTCCCAGCCTGGAAGGGGTTTTAAAAAGTGACTGCAATTTTCAGCTCTGAATTGCAACATTTGGATTAGTTCTATCTAAAGTCTTTTGTTCTAAATTTCATTTCCTAGAAAGGCTTGTACTAGCTGATACCAATATACAATGCTACTGCAATTCTACAACACAAAGATGTATCTTGCCTCAATAAATTTGTCTCAATTGTACAAGGAATAATAAATCAGTCCCATTTATCATGTACTAGAGTAAGATTGTCTGAGTTAATAACAGAAGATATGGCAAAGTTTGAGGCAAACGTTCTTCCTTGCGTAAAAGAGAGACTATGCAAGAAAAAACTGCTAAAATTACAGCATAATTCCTCTACTCCCTTTCTACTTAGGATGCTTTTACCAGGGCTTAAATGGGAGGAAGTACTTTTGTTGATAGAAAATCTAACCCTGTTACAACTGGAGATAACGCCCACAAAATACATCTCCCAAAAGCCAGGATATGGTCATAACTGATAAGCTCATGGAACCAGTAACTACATTTGGATAAAGATTTTCCAGCTGCTTAAATATACAAAAAAACCAACAACCCAAACAACAAACCAACCCCACAAATAGGTAATGTTAATCAGGGAGGACATGAGCTATACTTGTTCAAACTGGAGAAAGATTCCAGGCAGAGTTCTGCCAGAGGAAGAAAACTTATGGGTCATACACTAAGCTAAGTAGAAACTCATTCGACTCCTCTGAAGCCAATGCTTCCTCAAGGAAACATACACCACAGCTTAATTCACACCACTGAATTAATTGTATTCTTGTCTGCCACTTAATCACAGAATGGTTTAGGTTGGAAGGGACCTTAAAGATCACCTAGTTCCAACCCCCCTGCCCTGGGCAGGGACACCTCCCTCTAGACCAGGTTGCTCAAAGCCCCATCCAGCCTGGTCCTGAACACCTCCAGGGATGGGGCATCCACAGCTTCTCTGGGGAACCTGGGCCAGTGTCTCACCACTCTCATAGAGAAAATTTTCTTCCTGAGATCTAATCTAAATCAAGCCTCTTCCAGTTTGAAGCTATTGCCCCTCATCCTATTACTACATACCCTTAATATCACTTACTTGCCCTTACGTACTCTCATATGAAGTCGATAGCCCTCCCACACTGGATAAATTAGGCACTTAACCATCACACTCTTAACTTTAAAATCTCTATTTTTTTTTTTTTTTTTCCGTTTCAGGTCTGTGGTTATGTCTATTAACTCATTGCTGTTAAGAAACACAGCAAATGACTTCAGCAGTCTCGGCTCTGTGGCCAGTAGGAACTTGTACACATCACAGGAAACCACATATTGTGCTAGTTAAGCATGAGTTTTTCAACAGCAGCATTGCCATGGCCATATAGGCGCGCAGAATAAATTCCGTCCTCATTTCTAGGTACTTTTTCCTAACTCAAATGAAGCAAGTTACAATATGGCTTCTGTCACTACTGCTTCTTCTGATGGACAGAACTGGGGGGTGGAGGAGAGGGGAGAAGGAAAAAAAAATAAATTACTTATGCACCAGCCTTGAAGTTACCAGCTTACTCTGTGGTTAAAACACAAACGCTAATAAGTTACCCCCTTTCTACCCCCTTTTTCTCTTGCTGCTGCCAATGTCAAAAGTAGCATCTGTCACTGTGTTGCCCTGAGCAGAGACAGAAGAGGGAGATTTAGGAGCCAGGGTTTAGGACTACTGCTTCAGAGACATTTGACTACCTAACTCTTTATTCTGCTGATAGGAGTTTTAATATCAATAACCTTCCACAAAATAAAAACAACTGCAAAAAGTATCAAGGGCATTCTGATATATAGGAGCCCTCTTGAAACCCTACTAATTTTTACTAACGTATGGAACAGTGTAACAAAACTGTAGCCACAGACAGTCACTTTCTTCCACTTTGCCATGTTAAGTCCACCGTTAAGAACAGCGTTTCTCAATTTCAGATGAAGGTAACTGCTTCTGTTGCGATACTGAAATCCTTAGCAGTTTTCAAGCCTTGCAGCTTCCTGCATGTTGAAACTGAAGTAACGTTTAAGAATACAAAAATCATCTTCTAAACCATCTAAATCAGCAATCAAACAGCTTTAGAAGCTGTGTGGCTAAGTCCACCTGAGACCTGAGCTAAACAGACCCAAAAAACCAATATGCAAACCCAAAGCAATTAAGAAAAAAAAAAAGCAAGAACCAGAATAAGGAGAATCTATCTCAATAAGCATAACACCATCTTGTAACTTATAACAGAACTAAAAATTGCTTTAGAGATTTAGATAGAAACTCAGAAACTAATTTAGAAAGAAAGCAGGAAATCGTAACAGAACAAACCTTGCCATTGCATTAAAGTGAGTATATTTTAACCTCGATGGTATACAGCGAGGTGGATTTTCTTGCATTCAGACATGCTGGGGTTTCTCATGTATTGACCAGTACCAGTAGAGCGACTGCACTACTGCCTGGGCACCCTGTTGGTTCACAGGCTGTTTGCATAAACTGACCATAGACCTCTTTGCCATTGTGTATTCTAGATCAGCTGCTGAAGAGCTTGACATTGTGCCTGACTGGAGAAAACAACTTTGGATGTCCCACATTAACATTAGCAACAAGGGCACAGCTTCATACAGCTTTTTTCTTTTTTTTTTTTTTTTTTTCCGTTTCAGGTCTGTGGTTATGTCTATTAACTCATTGCTGTTAAGAAACACAGCAAATGACTTCAGCAGTCTCGGCTCTGTGGCCAGTAGGAACTTGTACACATCACAGGAAACCACATATTGTGCTAGTTAAGCATGAGTTTTTCAACAGCAGCATTGCCATGGCCATATAGGCGCGCAGAATAAATTCCGTCCTCATTTCTAGGTACTTTTTCCTAACTCAAATGAAGCAAGTTACAATATGGCTTCTGTCACTACTGCTTCTTCTGATGGACAGAACTGGGGGGTGGAGGAGAGGGGAGAAGGAAAAAAAAATAAATTACTTATGCACCAGCCTTGAAGTTACCAGCTTACTCTGTGGTTAAAACACAAACGCTAATAAGTTACCCCCTTTCTACCCCCTTTTTCTCTTGCTGCTGCCAATGTCAAAAGTAGCATCTGTCACTGTGTTGCCCTGAGCAGAGACAGAAGAGGGAGATTTAGGAGCCAGGGTTTAGGACTACTGCTTCAGAGACATTTGACTACCTAACTCTTTATTCTGCTGATAGGAGTTTTAATATCAATAACCTTCCACAAAATAAAAACAACTGCAAAAAGTATCAAGGGCATTCTGATATATAGGAGCCCTCTTGAAACCCTACTAATTTTTACTAACGTATGGAACAGTGTAACAAAACTGTAGCCACAGACAGTCACTTTCTTCCACTTTGCCATGTTAAGTCCACCGTTAAGAACAGCGTTTCTCAATTTCAGATGAAGGTAACTGCTTCTGTTGCGATACTGAAATCCTTAGCAGTTTTCAAGCCTTGCAGCTTCCTGCATGTTGAAACTGAAGTAACGTTTAAGAATACAAAAATCATCTTCTAAACCATCTAAATCAGCAATCAAACAGCTTTAGAAGCTGTGTGGCTAAGTCCACCTGAGACCTGAGCTAAACAGACCCAAAAAACCAATATGCAAACCCAAAGCAATTAAGAAAAAAAAAAAGCAAGAACCAGAATAAGGAGAATCTATCTCAATAAGCATAACACCATCTTGTAACTTATAACAGAACTAAAAATTGCTTTAGAGATTTAGATAGAAACTCAGAAACTAATTTAGAAAGAAAGCAGGAAATCGTAACAGAACAAACCTTGCCATTGCATTAAAGTGAGTATATTTTAACCTCGATGGTATACAGCGAGGTGGATTTTCTTGCATTCAGACATGCTGGGGTTTCTCATGTATTGACCAGTACCAGTAGAGCGACTGCACTACTGCCTGGGCACCCTGTTGGTTCACAGGCTGTTTGCATAAACTGACCATAGACCTCTTTGCCATTGTGTATTCTAGATCAGCTGCTGAAGAGCTTGACATTGTGCCTGACTGGAGAAAACAACTTTGGATGTCCCACATTAACATTAGCAACAAGGGCACAGCTTCATACAGCTTTTTTCTTCTTGGTACCAATACTTGTTTAAAGAATTTCCCTCTCTTCCCTCATGCTCCCCTTCTTCACTGTTGCTTGTAGGGACAGGAGAAAAACAACAAACAAAAGCGTATGTTTTAAATACCCAGCAGCAAATTGATCTGTCCTGCCCCCTTGCAAACACCCATTCAACTACAGAAAACAAAGCAGCATGGCAGAGCACCGAGCGGCAGGCTATAACCTTAAACTAAGCTGCAAAAGATGAGGGTGATCGTGTTCCCAGAAGGCCAACTAAGTCAGTTATGGCCAAACACCACCCAGAGCACTAGAGGATTTCTTTCCTGCCTCAGCACGTAACCAGCTCCTGACAACGCGTAGGTGAGGACACCGGGTCACTGCCACGCAAGCAGAGCCCCATCTCCCTGTTTCCAGTGAGTCATGCTTGTGGAGCCTGTGACATGTCAAAAGGCCCGGTCACAACAGCTCTCCTGGTGACACGTCGTGGTTTACCCTGATAAAATGCAGAGCCACAAGTTTCCAGGTTCTTTCTGCATGTATTTGTGGCGCCTTTTCAATTGTATCATTGTATGTTTGGTTCACCTGTTCTCATCAGAACAGCTATTTAGTTTTTGACATAAGCTCTGCATGAGTACTGATGTGTATGTATGAATTTATGCTTAAAAATTGCAGTGCTTCCAGGTCCAGAAAATGACAGTTTACAAACTAGTAAAGAATGCTAACCGACCACAAAACTCTGCTCATAAAGTGAAAAATACTGTGGAAAAATGATTTTACAGTATTTCCTTGAGAACGAGGGAAAGCTCCAAGTAGTGTTAGTAGTGTCAGCCCTATTACTTTAATAGCTTTCTATTACCACAGATGTCATTATAGACAGTTTACATGCCCATTTTTCTTTCACATGCATAACCCAGAAGCCACAATTTCAACTGCCACTTTGGACTCCAATTCTCATTATAATTAAGCAACCAAAACCCCATGATAGTTTTGAGTATCTTGCCTGGAATGCACAAATCCCTCATAAATGTATTTTTTTCTCATTTGTATATTGCAACAATTTCTTAAACAAATCTTAAATAACTTGCAGATATTTAATTATCTTGTAAATCAGAATTACAGAAATACAACGCACAGTGGTAAAACTTTTTCAACAAAGTGTACATGTCAATACCTCTTTGTTTAAATATGAGTGCATGGCTCACAGTATGGAACCGTGTCACAGGTTACAACCAGGACCCATGCTTATTCCAGAAAGAGTTATTTTTATACAGAGTATTTGCTATCACGGCTGGTATTTACCTATTTATTATAAGTAAATTTTCCCAAATATTGCATGAGCACTTTTAGCACCCAGAGTGTAGAAAAGGTATTAGTCCAAAAAAAAAACAGGCACCACACTTCAAAACAGGGTGGGAAGGGAGATCCAGAAATCGAACCCCAAGTTTACACCACAGCATAAACAAATGTACTGGTTGGAAATAGTCTCACACCCGCAATACCGGTCCCCCCGGGGCTGCCCGGCCCCCGCCGACCCCCCCGCGCGGCCCAGGTACGCGCCCGCCTCCCCCGTGACGCCAGAGGCCCCGCGGCCCGGCCCCGCCTCCGCGGCGACCGCCACGTACCTTCTCGAGGCAGGCGGCTGCCCTGGCGGCCCGGCCCCTCCCGCCATCGGGACTGCCCCCATGTCCGCTGGTTTGCCCAATCAGAGCCCTCCGCGACGCCCGGGCGGGGGTCAGGCCCGGCCAATCCCCGCGTCTTGAGGGGCGGGACCTGTCCCCATGGCAACGGGCGCCGGGGCCGCTGTAGTGCCGTGGGGCTGTCGCGCCGCACCGCGCCGTGCCGTACCGCGCCGCACTGTACCGTCCCGTCCCGCCGAGTCCCGCCGACCCTTAGGAGGACGCCCCGGGGGACGCCCCCTTCACACTACAGAGTATTTGCTATCACGGCTGGTATTTACCTATTTATTATAAGTAAATTTTCCCAAATATTGCATGAGCACTTTTAGCACCCAGAGTGTAGAAAAGGTATTAGTCCAAAAAAAAAACAGGCACCACACTTCAAAACAGGGTGGGAAGGGAGATCCAGAAATCGAACCCCAAGTTTACACCACAGCATAAACAAATGTACTGGTTGGAAATAGTCTCACACCCACACACAGACCCAGACCCAGACCCAGACCCAGACCCACACACACACACACAGACCCGCACACCCCCATGCCCTCACACGCCCCCCCAGTCTTGAGGGGCGGGACCTGTCCCCATGGCAACGGGCGCCGGGGCCGCTGTAGTGCCGTGGGGCTGTCGCGCCGCACCGCGCCGTGCCGTACCGCGCCGCACTGTACCGTCCCGTCCCGCCGAGTCCCGCCGACCCTTAGGAGGACGCCCCGGGGGACGCCCCCTTCACATCTCCGCGCCCAAGGAGACACCTTGCCCTTAAGAAAGCCAGCGGCTCCTCTGCCGCCGCAGCGGGACCGAAAGGTAGTGCCGCGCGTCCCAGGCCGCCCTGGGGCAGGGGTCCCCCCCCCGGCCTCGGTGGCGGAGGGGGCCGGCGAGAGGCGCGTCGTGGGCGCGGAACGGAGCGGAGGCCTGGCGGGGGTGCTGGGGGGGAGCAGCTCCTGTCAGGGAGAGCCGTTGGGGCCGCGCGGCGGGGTGGGGAGGGGCGCGCGCTCCCTCGTGGGGGTTTAACCGCCCGCCCTCCTGCCGGGTTTGAAAAGGCGACGTAACGGTAACGCGGTGGGGGACAACCGCGCGCGACGTGGCGGCGGGCAGGCGAGAGCAGCCGGCCGGGGCCGGGGGCTTGCTCGCGTGTCTGGGGGTCTGTGGCGGGAGAAGGCGAGGGGCGGCCGAAGTTCGGCCGGGGGTGTCCTGCCGCCCGCCCGCCCGCCGTTCCGCTCGGGTGCCGTCCGTCGGAGCCGAGGGCTTTGCAGGAAGTAACACTCGAGCAGCCCCGTGATGGGCGCGTAAGCGGTTGGCTTTAAAGCACCGGGAGAAATGGATGCACACCTGGCGGCGGCAGCGCCCGAATCCTGACTGGCTGGTAATTGCACAACAGCAGGAAAAATTTGGGCTGCTTTGTCCGGGAGACTGGTTTCACTAGAAGGGACATACCTGCTCAGCGTTGTGCTTACTGTAGCACCGCCGGCAGAGCTGGATAACATAGTGTCAGCATACCCACTGTGCCCAACAAATATTCCAAAAGAGAAAAAGGTTGAAACATGGTTGTAGAGAGATAGACATGTTTTTTTGAGAAAAAAAAAAAGTTTTGTTTTTCAAAAGTGTTCCCGTTTGGCAACACATTTTAGTAAGCCTGCAGGAGAAAAAGCCTCCGTTGTTTGAGTTGTAAGTATTTGCTGTGAAGAAATAGTGTCCAGCGTTTCAAAATTAGGCCATCACAGTAACAACAGTGAAGCACCAGTACACCACAGGATCAAGTTCAATGTAGAGATTTGCTTTGGATCTTGTTTGTCATCTTGTTTTCTCCCACTTTGTAGAAAAGACCTGTAGTTGATTCAGTATTGTTGCAGTTCTGTCCCGAATTCAGATGTGAGTGTCCTTTTCAAGTAAACAGAGCAGCATGGGAGATGTTCCTACTCTAAAGACTGGATAGGAGATGAAGAGACACTCAAAAATTGTTTGAAACCAGGTTTTGTGGTAACCTTTATTGACCTTTGCTCGAGACCCACAAAAGGTTTATGGGAGAAGCCCACATTTCTGTGAGCAGTCAAGATCCACTTATATCTCTGACTGTCAATGCTGCACAATGATCTTGTATGGTCATAGTGCAACATCAACCATGGGCTGCAAATTATTAACCTCGTTACATACAGTAACTCCTAACTGCGATTATATATTTTCCCTTTTACTTGCTATTGTAATTTTTTGGTCAGTGGCAGGATTTATTTTAGAATAAAAAAAGTAGTTATATATAAAAAGTAATAACATAAGTCTATCTTTAAAAAATGTCTTGTAGTAGAACAATGTGAATCTCATTCACTCTAAACAAGATAATTAATATAGACAGGAAAGGGGAAAAGTATAAATTAATATTGCTCATTGGGTCTGCTTAAAACTTGCATTAGCCATTGGATGCAAAGGCATCTAATGTAGGCACCTGACATAAGTTTGCTTGTGACATGATGCTGTAATATGGTGTGACAGATCATTATTTGAGATGTGAAATTATATTCAGAAACCCCATCAAGCAAATAAAAACTAAGTCAGAACAACAGAAAGGATTATTTTTAAATTAGATGAATAAATTTCCATACCTCGACTGTATAGTAGTGTAGCATAGTAGTATTGCTGAACATAAACTTTTTGTTCATACAAACCAAGTTAAAGGGTTTGCGTCAAAAGCTGCCCCCAAGTAATACGTGTATAACTTAAATTGTGATCATGAAAGGGCAGAGCGGTACTTCTCTGAGATAATAAAGAATATAAAATATTACTATATTGACTCAAGTGTTAGAGGTGTGGAAATATTGACCCATGCTTCTAGTGATATACTGACTAAACAAACGTGCTTTACAAAAGAAAGATAAAATCCTTTACACTTAAGTTAAAAGACCACATCGGTGTTGCCTTGATTTGAACTCCTGTGCAGCAAAGGTGTTTATCTAGTGAGGTATTGTCTCTTTGATTGCTCAGTAAGCAGAAGAAATCTCTGTGAAGTTCCTGTTAGATACGTAGTAGACACAAGCCTTCCAGGTAGGGATATGCTTGTATGTAGCTAAAAGCATGGCCAGGTACTTAAGCCAAATTGAATTAAATCAGAGGCAAAATTCATGTTAATTTCAACAGGGTTTGCTCTTAGGTACTATGCATGACTTGACAGTTGGAAGAATGAAAGAAACTGCATTTTATTAGAACTGTTTTAGTCATATTCAGTTGTAAATATTATTCTTCATCATAGGATTCAGGAAATATACAGGCCCTTTTCATGATTACATTTCTCATGCTTTATATTCTTTATAAAACAAGAGTGGGACGTTGATGTATATTTGGATTACCAAGTAAGAAGGAATCAATGGGAATTAACAAATTATGGAAATAAATCTCATTAGGCAGCTATCATTAAGTGCCTAAATATTTTTTAATCTGGTTGCATATCATTAGATCTAAATTTATTCTTTTTAGCTATTTTGTATTTCCTTTCCAAAGGGGGAAAAAGAAGTACCATGAAGTCCTGGGTCATAGAAGGCTTACTTTAGCATCATGATTTGTTGTTGACTAGAGTGAAATGTGTATTAGTAGAATAAATGAAATACTTTTTGATTTGAGATTAGGGTTTAAGCAAACACTTTGGTTGCTAGTAGTAGCATATTTTAAATGAAGTTGTGTTTTATGGCAGCACTGGCAAAATTACTGTTTGGATTTACACAGAAAGAATTTGTGAGATTCCAGGTTTGCCATTGTATTTTGTTCTGTGTGGGAACTGAACTAGTAGTACAGGAAGCTATAGTTGTACTGGTAATTAGAACAAAAAAAAAATGCTTTTGAAGTTGATAAGAGTTTTGTCAAGTATGCATTGAATTCAGTACAAGGTTTTGCATGAGTACTGGTTTAATAAATCTTTTTTTGAGCTTACTTTATTGAAAAACATTGATAAAATCATACAAGTTCCTTTTAAAAACAAGACTGGTATTTCAGCATTTTTCAGTTAGTAAGATAGATTTGTAGGCACTGATACTTATTTTTCTGAAACAGTGATAGGGAAGTGCCTTGGAGATGAGTAGAATATGAATATATGTATATGTATTCCTGTGTGTGCACACAGGTTTTTAAATAATGAACCGTTAGCATTGCAACAAGAAGAAAAAATAGTTGTGTTTTCAAACTTTACTTACGACAGAGCTAAGCACGTGTAGCAGCAGGCAGTAGGTTTTGCTTCAATGCTATTTCTATTTTTGGACACACAGTTGCATTGTAAATAGTACTTGCTTCCTTCCCACTCAGGCATTCATAGTTTGTGTTACTATATAGTATCCCCCAGCATTTGGGTGACTCATTTAATAAACCAGCTGAAGTGTCTTTTTAAAAAAAAAATTTGGTCAGCAAATGTTGTACTACACACAGTTGAGGCGTGCTGTCTTTACTGAGAAGCCGAAAAAAGAAGCTGTTATCAGCCAACTTTTAACTGTAAAGAGAAGCACTGCATATGAAGATGTACAGCATTAAAATAGGAAGTCACAGTACAGTCATAACTATAGAGAATATTGCTATCATCCTGCGTATGTGAACTGTATCTTACACAGATTTGATTACTTCCATATCAGCTACAGCAGACGTACATGAAATTTTATGAATAGGTAGGCTTATTTGTGTATTCTGTAAGTCTGGATTTATATTTACATTGCCTGTCATGGTACACAGGTGTTTGGTAAGTGCAAATATGCAATGACATTTACAGCGTTGTGTTATCTTGGCTCATAATCATCCCCTGAGCTTCTACATGTGCAGACACTAGGCACTATACACTGATATCACTGTATGGTTTTGTCTATCTCAGTTTTAGAAAATTTGACACTGGGTGTTACTTCTTTAAAAATATCTGTGCTTTGCTAGGAAAGTGATGAAGGCATCAGTACCAGAATCATGCTTTTTTTCTGGGCAATAGATATTAAGTTCATGAAAAGTAAATTTTCAAGTTTATATTATACACACCTGGCAGTTTTGTAAAGTAGATGTGTTAGCCCACGTTTAGCTGCTTGTGTTAATGCTTCTAGAACAAAATTTAGAAGCTGTATCTTGTACTTATCTTTCAAAGCCCCCAGCTCTTTATAATTTAAATGTCCGATCCTGTTCCACTGAAGTTGATAGGAATTTGCGATTAACTTTGATGGGGTCAAGATCAAGGTTGCTGGCAGACAGCCTGCTGCTTTTCTTTTCCAATTGTATTTTTCTGTTCATGCAAGTACATTGGTGGTTCTGTTTTCTGCTGACTCTCATTCTTTAGCTCTCACTCTCATTTTTTAAATACTTTATACTCAGAGAGGTTTTTTTTTTTTTGCTTTCCCTGAAAGCTTAGGATATAGGCTTTGTTTATGAACTACAGTATTTGTCAGTTTTAGAGCACTACTTTTATGATTAGTCCTCTTTATGTATTACAAATAGAAATGTTTGTTTATCCTTCTAGGAAAGATGAGATTGAATTCTGATACAAACAGATTAGAGTTGTGCTACCTTTTCATCTAGGTGGGATCCATGTCTTTGACTAAGATCACTTAAATTCCAGATGACATTTGTAACACTAGCTCTGTCCTTCTGTCACTAAGATAGTAACCGGTCAGCCGGACAGATTCATGACAATTTGTGTTTTTATTAAACTATATAGCAGTAGGAATAATAATAATGATGATAGGCTCAAGCAATGCACCCATGGCAGGGTCCAGGGATGTATGCTGTGCGTTATGTACCACTGTTGGCAGTGATCAAATCGACTTTGCTCCTCCTCTGCAGCACTGTGATTGTCTGTTGACTTGGTTGCTCCTAGTCCTTAGAGAAGAAATCAGATTCCCAGGTCAGACACACAGATTCACCGTAAAGTGCCTGGGAAGAAATAGGCATCCAGGAATGAGTTTCTCAAAAGTCAGGAACTGTTCAAGGTAGCTGGTAACAAGCTGAGAGAGGGATGAACTTTTAATAGTAAAGTGTTTAGTGGAACAAAAACTGGAACCCCATTTTTTGTCTCATACTGCCTCTTGTCACTCCTCCCTCTAGTTGCTGAATTTGAGAATCATCCTGAGTTTTTTCTTGCAGCTGATTAATGTTAGAATTTGCAATGGGCTGGGTTTCTGTCTTCTAATACGTGGCAGAGTAGAATGTGCTCAGTGACTCAGTTGTGACTGTCACACTCTAAAGGTTAACATAAGTCTTAGTCACCTGCTTTTATTGAGGGAATTTTGATGAGTATAGTCTTGGACTACTACAGTAACTCTGTCTTCACTAGGTAATTATTTTTTATTCTAATAAATGTATGTTATAGAACAGATTGTGTAAACAGTTGGGTTCCTCAAAATACTACTGGAAGCCCAGCGTTGAGCATAGTAGTCTACAAAATCAGCTGAAATGACAGAGATATTTTTTGCTTATTCATTTTTGTCTTCTCTGCTTTTAATTCTTCCTGGTACTTGTGGATTTTTTTTTTTTTTTGTCTGTTTTATCAGAAGGGCTACAATAAAAACACCCTGTGTACAACCTGAAATAAAACTGCTTGATGGGCAGTAGATAGCCCTCTTTTCAGAGCGGCTCATTACATCGAGTAGATATGAAGAATACATTGTGATATCATCCAGTCCTTCCCATTAGGTATGACAGCATGTAATTACAAAGGTTGGTATTTCCAAGGGAACCCAAATTGCCCAGGAGCTCAAGTCCCACAGGAAGTCAGCAGACTCGATGGCACTTAGTCTGATTAGGGCTTTTATAGATAAGCTTTGCTGACCGCTGTAGAGGTAGTTTAAGATGATATAGCTCCAGTTGCCCATCCCAAATCTGCTGGAGCTTAGTGTTCCCTCATATGAGGTTTGGCAGACCTGTGTGGTTGCTTATACCTCAATTGTTTCAGTACGGCATGGGCATTTTATGTATCAGTTGTCCTGAGTAGCAAAGGAAACCTCCTAAAAATTTAACGGTCTTCCCTCCTTTGGCCTAAACTGACAATCCCCATCTCCACAGTTTCTTGTGTTACTAGAAGTCGTAGGTCAGCAGCTTAAAAAATGTTATTTATATCTTTAAAATGGATCAAAGATCAGGTGTCATTGTTGAAAGTGTTGGCTTTAGTACTTGCCGTAGGCAAAGAATGAATCAGTGCCATAACTATGGTTAGGATTTGAGTTTCTGACTTCTCTGCCATGGTTCATCTAACTCAATGACCTATTGGTCTTACATGAAATGAGCATGTTCAAATAATAGCCACATGATTTTTAAAAACACTGTTTACACACCGTACACAACTGGAATGGCTTATAATATTAAATTGCTTTTATTTCTGTAATTTGGTATATATGAAAATAATTTGGTTGGGAAAATATTTATCGCTCAGGGGTACACATTTTTAGCATTGTCAAAGCTACAGTTTCTTTAAATGAATACTTCAAACATACATAACCTTTAAAAAATAACTATACTCTCAGTATTTTTACAAGTGTTATTATACTCACATACGTCGTAAGTATTTTTTTTTATTAGTTTTGTTATGTACTCATTGCATATTTATGGCCTTTTGCTTACCAGTTTACTAGACTGCCCCATTCATGCTCTGCTGGAATTTCAGCAAGGTGGATTTTTGTTTAACCAATTCTTTTTTGACTGTGTTGCTCTGTGTTTAGAGATGTTATTGCCCAGGCTGTTTATCCAGAATCTTTCAAAGTAGATTTTGAGGTTCCATTCTCTCCTATTCATTTTTAAAATACACTTAGTTGACAGATACTGAATTAAGTGTTTGACTTTTACTTTCTTTGCTGTTTTTTTCATCTGAAAAGGAAAGTACAGTGGCTTCCTCACAACTGTATCTCAGTCTGCTTTGGAAGTGAGCCACAACCTTGCAAATATTCTTAGTCCTACCTATAGAATTTATAAACATTTCTTGTTAAGAACCAATGCTCTGATAAAATCTGTAACATGGCCTAGGCCTCCCAAGGTTCTTCTATTTCAAATGGGATATCAAAGGAATAGAAAGGATTCAGGGAAGACTAACAAGCATAAGCAAAGGTCCCTTCCACTCTAACCATTAAATGATTCTTTGATTTATACAACTATGATCTGTATTTTAAAACATCTGAAGTATTTGAATTTTGGCATTTTAAAAAGGGATAGTGAGTAAGTAACTCCTTCATTGATCAACTCTATAAAGTCACTGCAGGCCAACAGCTCGTGTTGTCGTGTAGAAATCAATCTACTAGTTCCAGCAAATCAGTCTGGGTTTGGGTTTTTTTGTTTGTATGTTTGCTTGTTTTAAAGGAATGACCTAGACAAAGCTAATCAGACATCATTGCTGTTGTGCATCTGACAGTAGTGCTGACATGGAATGTAATATGCTCAATATGTCAGCAACAATAGCTCCTGCTATCCCATCTGGTAATGTTCAGATGTTAGTTGTTTTTTAAATGAAAGTAAGAGGTATTTGCTTTAGCTGAGCAGAATCCATGTAGGCTCTTCTTGCCGAAGATGCAATTAAAAAAACCCAGAGTATTCTTGTCATTCTTGAGCCTTTGAAATATAAACCAAAACACAGATAGGTGGATATATTTTTATCTTCAGCTATTTCCTCATCCCTGACAAAAGAAAGAATATCTCTGCACATCTTTTATGCATTTCCCATTTTTTTCTTAATAAGAGTGCTTTCTTTTACATAATACTTACATGAATAGGGGGTGTCAATAATACTTAATATTAGTTATGTACCGTTATCTACATATATTGCCTTAGTAAAGCAGCAGTTTAATCCAAGCAAAAGTAATGCTTCAGTGTCAAGTACCAGAGCATGTAGTCAGGAAAACTGGCACTGACACTGTAATTACAGTTTGTTCATGTTGCCCCCCCC